ATCATAAAACCGTTGGCTGGAGCAGTGTAGGTCAGACTCATCTACAAACCTGCCCAATTTCATGTTGATCGGTGCAGCCAATTTTGTGGTACGGTTGACCAAAAATCACTGAAAAAAAAAAAACGTACGAAAACAATATGACTCCTGCTTACGCCTCACGTGCCTCGCGGGTCATAATAAAGTTGAAAGAGATTCTTTAAAGTTAGCTGCAGTATTCTCTGATAAACATCTACTATAATGAAATTTTCTCTCAGTAGCTATAAAAGCAGCCAATGTAAACTCAAAGATTATTAAAAAATGGTCAGAGAGAACGGGATTGTGAGGATGTATAATTAAGTTCTTACTCTCTACACCATAAGAACCAGATCAAGAGTGTGAAGAAGAGAGTGAGTAGGTCTGTGGACATTTTGAGTAAAACCAATTGACACAATTAGATTACTAAAAGCTATATTTAAGCTATCACTTTCACTGTCAACAGGATAAACTTTTTGTTTGATTTCATACTTTGCAGTGAGCACCTTTACTTCAGAACCAGACAAGATATTACAACATTACAAGAAAATATATGAAACAGCTGCTAAGACACTCAAAAAGATTTCATAAAACAATAAAATACAGCAGAGACATAAAACTGTGCAAATGATCTAAAAGTGACAGTAAAAGACCAAAAAGATTTTTTTTACTTTGTCGATTTCTTCATTCAGTCCCTCCACTTCGTATCCCTGCAGCCTCTGTGCAGAGATGGAGAGTGCCAGCTCGTCACCTCGTAGCCGTATGTAGTCGTTGATGCTTTCCAAAAACCTCTTCACGCTGGACAGCTGGAGCGGAGCAAACAGAAGGGATGAGGGGAAACATCTTACACCTGTCCACCTGGGGGGGGGGGCAAACAATCCTGCAGAGTCAAACCCTCACCATCCCTCTGACGGCCTGCTGCACCTGAGGCTCCTGCGTGTTTTCCAGCACGCTTTTGAGCAGCAGCGGGTATTTCGTGATCCTCACATGTGGTTTGGCCTGCATGTCCCCAAGCCGCATCCGCAGACACAGTGGGTGTTCCTCCAGCCACTGGACACAWCCAAAACACAGAAAATTCATGCATCTTAACAAACTTTATTAGTATTTGACCCCACATTCTCCAACGGTTTAAAAAAGGAATTCAATATATTTGTGTAGCTGATTAAACATTTAAAACAAAAGTCAGATCGTTTGAAGTTGGAAATCTTATTTTCTAGATTAATGACTTAAACTTGGAGAAACTGAGTTTMATTTTGACCAAACTGATGAGCTAAAAACCAGACTAGTTCAAGGCTGTTGAATGAAAAGGTTGTAAAATTACCTATGTGTCTTGTTTTATAATAATCCAATCCAATAAACAAGAACAAGCAGATTAGGCTGTTTGGTAGAGTAGATCTAGAAGTTTTTCATGGACACAAAAACCACAAACTCAACTTTTCTGCTCAGCCCACTAATGCATTTTCCTAACAAAAATGGCACCATTTAAGAATCCCTAAAAAGGATTCCCAACTCAATAGGATTTATTGCCTAGAAACATTGCTGCAACCTAGAAATGATCAACCAAACAGCAATTTCCTATTTTATGTATAATTTAATCTCAAATTAATCTGTAAAAAAAAATCATGTAACCTCAAAAAATGTTAGAACTTTTTGAAAACTAGCAAAGCTCCCCGAATAAAAAAAAAGACAAATTGTCTTTGTACAAAGCAATGGTAATAATTTTGCTGTCATTGCAAGATGCTAAATAAGTCAGTAGGAGCTGATTCAGCACATTCAGGACAGGCTTGTCCCCTTTTTTCCACACATGCCCATTATTTAGACTGGTGATCTAGAAATCTCCGTCAGCTGAATCATTTGTAGAAGATGTTGGTGTAGCTTATGGTTATTTTAGTCAGCAAGCTCTCATGACAAGTCACCCACATGGTTGTGAAAACATCACAAAACAAAACCTTTGAATTCCATGAAGTCAGTAGTTGGAAACAGCGGGAGAGCTTTACAGTGTCACATTAACTCTACAGTAAGCCGACCGAGTGTTTATTTAATGACCTTAATATTGAATAAACGCTTAAAGGGCTTGCCGTAGTTTACGTGCGGCTGCTTCAGTACCTGCACAAAAGCAACAAAGTGTGGATTGCTCTCCATCTGCCTGTGTGCAAACTCCAGAGTGTTTTCCTCCTCCCAGCAGTAAACATGATAGGCAGAGAAACGCTCTCTGAACTGGAAGGAAAGACAGAATTAAACTCAGACCTGCAGAAATCTCACTTCACAACAGGTTCATTTTCTGCAGAACTTTTTTTAAAAAGAAGATTGTTTAAATGTTTGTGTTCTCAAGAAAAAAAGTTTCACCTTGCCCACATTTTAAATACCTTTAAAGTGTTAAAGTGTGGGCGTTTTTGTTTTGTTTTGTTTTGTTTTTACAGGATGTGACTTCAATTGTAATGGAAACCTGAAATGAACAAAATGCTTATACTGTWTATCAAAAGGATAAAAAAAACAAACGGAAAAAAAGAATCTAAACTTCTTTAAAAGTTGATGATGCATGCACATTTGTAAATGCTCAGATGTTTTTATTGTTCTCATTTAATTTTATGCAAAACTAGTTTTAGAAACGTATAACAGAAAATGATTCAGYATTAGTGCAACAGAAAACCTTCAGAATAAAGAACATTTTAGAACAAACTTAATCAGACTAACACTACATAGGTGTATGAATGTATGTGAATATGTGTGTTGCACATAATTTCATATGTGCAATATGTATGACGCGTGTGTGTGTGTGTGTGGAGGGGGTTGTTTTTGGTGACATTTGGGGGCAATTTTAAGACAAAACGCCTACATTTGGGGACAACTGGTGCATTTGGGGACCTAAGTCGAGTCCCCGTTTGGTTTAAATGCCATTGGTGGGTTTGGTTTCACTCCTCGTCCAGGTTGCGTTTTCAACTCAAAATACAATTTATCAAAATAAGTTTTTGTTTTCTTTTTTGGGATTGATCATGACCTGAATGACTGAGGATCTATATCAGCAATCAAAAACMTATTTTAAGTTCAACTTCACAACAAAAATGAGTCAAACCTGTCCAGAAATCTATAATGCAAAACATAAAGACTAAAAGGTTACTGTATGTGCAAAAAAAAAAAAAGAATTAACACTATATGATCACCTGCATTGCCTTTATGTCCACACTTTGCACAGTGTCTTGCACAATGAGGATTCTTTTTAACTGTGATTTAACTTGTAACCTGCAGCTCATACCTGCAGGCAGCCAGGCTCCAACCTCATGGGGTCAAAAGGCTTGCCTGTCCTTCGCACTTCCTGCAGCATGGGATATACCACTTCCTGCCAGAACAGCTGGTGAGCTTGCAGGATGGASGGCAGGTTGGAGAACAGCAGCTCGGGGGTCACCTTTGTTAGATCAAACCAAAAAAGTCACAGGGTTAAGAGTCGAACCGCCCTGTTCTGTTCTGTTCTGTGGCATTTTCCGTCTTCTCAGTGGAAACATATTGTTTTCTTCAATGTTCCACTTAGGCTTTATTTATGTCTCACATGTCCTCACTGTGCAGAGGAGTGGAAAATAGACCTTTGTGATTGATATGTGTTGTGCAGAATCTATTTATTTTTAAATTTTACAGACTAACCTCCTGAAGAAGTTCGTGCTGGTGCAGCTTGCGGAGAGCTGCGATCACCAACTGTGAGAGGCAGACACACATTTGTTAACCTCCTCCTCCGCTCTGACACACATAAAGCTGAGCTCAATAACAAAGGAGAGAGAGAGAGAGAGAGAGAGAGAGAGAGAGAGAGAGAGCTCACGTCTTTGATGATCTTCAGCTTGTTGATGTAAGTGAGCTCAGTGTGAACAAACTCCCACAGCGTCGCCTGCTGGTTTCTCTGCATCTTACCCATCGTCTGCTTGTGATGTGAATTCAAAGGGAGAAGAGAAAGAGAAGGCTGGTAATGATATTTGAAGAATGTGTGATATGTGCTTACAGAGGAGGTATTTCATAACAAGGATATGTCTAGAGAAAAATGACCCTAATCAGTGAGAAAGATTTGAGTAATTCTTTGGCATGAAAAGTGGTGAGTGATGCATTCTTTTGAAGTTTGAAACTAAGATCTTGTACATGTTAGCGCTCAGGGTTTGTGTTGGGGATGACTCTCAGCTACTACTACAACAAATTATGTTACTCATCTCCTAAAATATGGATTTAATTATAACTATTTGGTGTTTACAAAGGTGGATTATATGCATCAGATGTAGATTTTCACTCAGTGGCAGAGAGTTCATTACAATCCAACCAGTGGTTTATGAGATATTTTACTAAAAAGCAGCCATATCTTACTAACAAACTCATTTTACCAGGTTACAATGACGACCAGGTCAAGAGGCAGCAACACAAGTGGACATAAAACAGCAACGAAAAAAGCAAAAATCATGACACAAACAGCATAAACTAACAAACATAAAACATACTATTCACAATAAAAACAAGTAAAAATATAAAGAAACTAAAAGCAAGTGGAGGCCACTTCCTGTCGTGTCTTGGTAGGTTTACTCCTGAGGTTTATCAGTTGTAGACGTAGATCTAGTAAAGTCTTCAGTAAAGTCTGACATCTGGTTTAGGAGATATTTTGCTAACAGGTAATTACACGGTTACTCATCTTTTTTGGCAGCAGATCAAAACATTTAAGGTGCTAATTTTAGCCGATTTTCCAAGAAAGCAAAAAGAACACATCGAACTAAATATGTTTTATTTATTTCAAAATAATGGCAATTATCTTTAACCCCTTCTGGCAATAATACACACAACAATACCAACGCCTCACCGTGTGAGAAGTCACTAAATCGGTCCAGTTCTGCTCCAGCGTGGTTCCACGACTCTCCTCCTTCCATCTCCATTCCAGGTCGTTGGACACGACGAAGGCGTCCAGCTCCTGCTTCAACACATCCAGCTGGTCTCGCTCCGGCTAAAATACACAACCAAACGACAAAACAAAACACCCAAAGGACAGGGAAGAAGAACAAGAAAAGCTGATGTTACAACGCACCAGTGGTTCCACTAAAGGATGTTGTGAATATTTGCGGTCTCATAAACTGAACACTGGTGGATCAGAACAAGTTGGTGCTGCATTGATTCAGGTGTCTGCGTGGGCGGACACGGTCGGAGCGTGTCTATGTCTGGTACTTGAGAGACAACTTAATACCTCAGTCGGTTTTTCACACACTACCTGGTTGAACAGGCTCTGGACCGGCTTCCTGGATTTGTTCCCTGATGTGCCTCCCTTACCCAGGGTTGGAAAGTGTTTGCTTTTTCTCTGGAAATGAAACAATGAATTCAGACATGATTTCAAACTGAGCTGTACTTACTCACCAACAACTTGTTTCTGACTGTTCACCAGCATCTTAAGTTCCTTATAAATGTAGTTTTTTAACACTTTAAGTGTTAACAGTAAGATGAGTAATTTCCAACCAGGTCCCTATTAAATTCTTCAGTAGAGTAGTGATGCATCAGTGAAGAATTCAAAACCAACAAAGGTCATACATTCAATGTTTTTCTTAAATGTTACTTAAATGTTCCTAATAATTYGTTTTAAAAGGCAAAATTAAAAACAGAACCAGTTCAGAATATAGGCTCTTTTAAAACCCCATTTATTAATGCTTTATAAATGGATATTTAGTAGCTTGTAAATACTTTATAAAGCATTAATAATCATAAAACACAATACAATAA